GAAGCCTATGTAAACAAAGTTCTTGAACAATTCAGAATGAAAAACTGTTCTACTAACGTGACTCCTCTAGAAAAAGGGATAAGTTCAGTATAAATCAGTGTCTCAAGACCGAGTTTAAGAAAGGGGAAATGGAAAAGGTCCCATATACCTCAGCAGTAGGAAGCTTAATGTATGCACAGGTCTACACAAGACCTGATATAGCTTTTGCTGTGGGCATGCTGGGAAGGTACCAATGTGATCCTGGTGAGGTGCATTGGATAGCTACAAAGAAAGTGTTTAGATATCTACAGGGTACTAAACACTATATGCTTACATATAAGAGGACAGAGAATCTAGAAGTGATTGGTTACTCAGACTCTGATCTAGGAGGATACATGGACACATACAAGTCCACAACTGGTTACATCTTCCTGTTAGCAGAAGGAGCTATTTCATGGAAAAGTCTAAAACAAACACTAACTGCTCCTTCCACTGGTGACGCTAAGTACATTGCATGTTTTGAGGCAAGCTCACAAGCAATCTGGATCAAGTATTTCATTGCGAGGCTTAAGATTGTGGAATCAGTCTCTAAGCTGATTAGAATATACTGTGATAACACAGTTGCCGTGGCCATATCCAACAACAAAAGGAATAAGAGTCTAAGTAAATTCGTCGAACTGAAGTTCCTTTGCTTGAGAGAAAGAGTTATGGATGGCTAAATTTCGGTTGAACATATTGATACAAAGAGTATGCTAGCAGATCCTTTGACTAAAGGACTGAAACCCAATGAATTTGTTTTGCATATGCCTCACATGGGACTTCGTTCTTCATTTGATTAGCTGAGGTATGAGCAATGAAATCAGTTTATGGTTTGTCATCTCTAATTGTAATTAAATGTACATTTGTGTTTTGAGATTGATAAGCATAAGGCAAGAACTAAATAAACATTGAGTTTATTCATGAAGGTATACCCATTAAGTAAGGGTGCGGCTTGTAATGCATGGAAGGCAATACCCGACTTAAGGGGACTTGTCGCCATGATTCTTGCAGTATAGCCTTAACTTGTCTGGGATAGGGCAATTGACATACAGTACACTGGCCAAGTGGGAGAATATGAGACATTTTATTATTATTATAAATTATTTAGGTATTTAATTAGGAATTAATAAAATATCCTGAGTGTGGCCCGTGGTCAGGAAAAAGGCCCAAACCCAGTAGGGTTTTTATTTTCAGTCAAGATTATATTTCTCTGATGGTGAAAATTTAATTATCAGGTTTTGATGGCTAAAAATTAACAGAGCGATACATTTAGAAACAGAAAACCCTATCTGCTCCCTGAGGTTCCCTAACTGGTGACGGTTGAACCCGGTTGCCATCACTATGCCTATCTGCCAGTCAGAAGAGATCTAAATCAATTTTCTTCTGACTCTAATCTATCTTGCAGCTCTCAGATTAATTAGGCAATAGATATGGCAAGAGGTAACTCTAATCTTAAAGTCTTCCACTGTATGTTTATAGAGGATTCATTTTATAGTATCTAATTTGAATATATTTTATATATGTTATTTTGAATCTGTCTTATAAGAGTAAGAAGAAATTGTAGCTGGTCTGGTTTGATGCTTTTACGGTTTTACCTTATCAAAAAAGCAAAGATCCATAGAAGAGAGTTACAAATATTTTTAAAGAGTAAAATAATTGAAAAATTATTCAAAAGACCCAAGCAATTAATTTTTTAATGGGTAAATCTTTTTTTCCCTCAAGAAAACCAACTTTAAAAAATATTTGAAATAAATAACTACTACTTCCGATCCTTAATATAAAACTTTGTTTAACGTTTATTTTGTTCCTAAATATAAGACTCCAATCCATTTTCTCTATCATGTTTATGTAACTTTTTTTTTCAAAATAGCCCTTAGTACTAGCCAATACATTTGATTAATAAGGATATTTTAGGAAAGACAATACATATTTATTACAAATAACTAACTTAATTTATTTTCTTAATCTACTCAAATTAGTCAACCAGAAATAGTATATCATTAACTAACTCGCCTACGGAAGGATTTATCCAAAAAATTAAAAATAAAAAGGACAGAAGGAAGAGATGATTATAAGGTGCCGTAATAACAGTGCGTTTATTTGTTGGATGATTTTGCAAATGCAAAAGAAAAATTAAACATTGCTTTCTTATGCATATTTGCTACTTCCTCCGGTTCAAAATATAAAATAAGCTTTATCCATTTACGTTTATAAAAAAAAACTAGTTAAAATCAGTTTAGAATAATAAATATACAAGACATGTATTTTTTCCCCAGATATACTCTTATTAATAAAGAGAATAAGTAAAAGATGTAATAAATGAATTAAAGATGAAAGAAAATATATAGAGATAAAATTAAAAAAAAAACTCATTAAATACTTCGATAAAAATAAATATTATCTTATGAGAAAACCAAACCCATCTAATAAAATTTAGTTTATATTTTGAAGCGAAAAAAGTATTGCCAATCCTCATCTCCGCTGAACACAAACCGGTTGTGTTTAGCAGTGGTGGGACAAGGATGACATATGGCTATATCTAAATGGATAAAATTCTCTACGCTTTCTTTTTTTTTTTTTTCATTAACAACCACACCACTCATCTCAATTATTAAGATTGAAAGTTTAATACTTCATGTTTCATGTTTTAGAAAATAATTTTATAGAATATTTTTTTAGTATTGTTTTGAATTATCTTGACTAAAATTTAGTAGTTTTATTTTATTTTTGAAAATTTAACATTTTATTGACAGTTTTAGAAATATAAAATCTGAACCACTAAAATTCTAATCTTGTAATTGAGATTGGAAGTGAAAGGAAATGAAGAAAAACGGAAGTGAAGACACCGCATGCCCATATCCAAATACTCCTCTAGTTTTTAATGTAAAATTTAATTATTGAGTTAATTTTAATCCTAAATATAAAGTATATTTTTCATATTTGTCAGCTTTTCTTAAATTACCCATATTAATACTCCCTCAACCATAATTAAGTAAGAGACTAAGAAAAGATAAAATCATTAGGATATTTAAAAAACAAAAAGCCACATTTATTACCATTAATTAACTTATCTAATTTTTTAAATATAATTAAATTTGTTACATGGATTTTACATTAACACATATATTACTTCCGATCCTAATTATAAGCCCTCATTTGTAGACTACAAGTCTAATTTTTAAGGCCTTTTTATTTGCTTAATAGATGCCACTGCCAATCACACTTGTAGTTTTATATTTAAAATCACTAGAACTTTGATTTTGGTGAAAGCAAACAACTACTTGTTCTCATTTCATGAACCACCCCAAAAAAACAAAACATGCATATTATTAACGGGAAAACTAACCTGGTAGTCCTTATAGTTTTATTAAATTTTGAATCAAATCCTTATATTATTTTTTATTTTTATACACTCCTTATTGTTTGTTCAGTTACTAGCGTTAGTCCTTCTATTAATACTACTTGCAAGCACTGTTAGTTTCAGTCAAGAGGGGCTGATGTGACGCTACATACGGATAAAGATTGCACCCAAATTGAAGCCAACTCTTGAACCTCCTAGTTTACACACCAAAATCAGCCATAGCCGAACATTCCAAACCCAACAAGTCAGGTTTCATGAAGTCCTGCTCCAGTCCTCGCTTACCCCTATTGTCTGCCTTCACTTACCTGAAGTGTGATTCACCAAAATCAGCAGCAATTACCCATCACTCTTCATTAGCCTCTCGAGGATTGGATCATGCTCCTATTTTGTCCACTCTTGAAAAAAAATAATATTGATTGTTGGGTAAGTCTGCCACCACAAAAGCTTGGTGGCATAGAAAATATTTAAAGAAAACTGTTATTAGCATATAGTATAACTAATCCAAAACTGATGAAATACTTTGAGAACAAAAACTGTTATTAGCAAAATCGATCTCAAGATGATGTCCAGAATTGAATTTTGCGCCTAAATGCTTGTGCATCTGTATAATATAATCATGTAAGGGAAGAGAGTGAAATTGTGCAAAATCTATATATTTATGTAGGTGTAAGAATCTGCACGAAAGAAACAAAACGAGAAGATGTATTGATTGTTAAGTTATGATTTCTCATGAATTAGCAAATGAACTGACAGAGACCGAAAATAAACCTGCATATGTAAGGGTAAGAATTTGGAAATAACGTACCAGGGAACTGAATTGATTGATGAGATATATAAATATATATTAATGCATATCTTCTCTGTTCTAGTAACTCAGTTTTAAAAGCAAATCAGGGATTCACTGATTGCTAAGGTTATTTTCATGACTTTGAATAATTTGATTTACTAAAGCTTAATTTCGATGCCTTGAAATGAAGCGATTCACTAAAACAGAGAACACGGATAGCGAGTAGTTCTGCAAGAGGATTTCACAGATTTGCTGGGTTGGAAGGTTTGGCTATAGTAGTTTTTATTGTATAAACGAGGAGGTTTAGGGCTCCGCTTTAATTGGGCACATCTTTATCAGTGTGTAGCACCACATCAACCCCTTTTTGACTGGAACTAACGGCATTTGCAAATATTATTAACAGAAGGACTAATACTAATAACTGAGCAAACAATAAGGAGTGAATAAAAGAAAAAATATTATAGGGACCTAATTTAAAATTTAATGAAACTATAAGGATTGTCAATTTAGTTTTCCCTATTATTAACCAACTCAAGATGCAATTCTTTCTGAAAGACTCCAAATTGATTTTTCCGAAATCTTGCCAAGAAAATCGCAATATGTATTAAATCATTATGATAGCAAAGATTCAACAATAAATTTCCATCAACGCATTAATAGAATAATGTAAAAGAATGACCAGTGGCGTGAATCAGACTCCAAATTAATACTTTAAAGTGCATTTTAGTGGTTCTTTCCGATGTATAAAAAGACAAGGGTATTTTAGTGGTACTCACTGTGATTGTGGCAACTTGAAGACTAGACACCCACCCAACAAAAAAAAAACCAAAAAAAGAAAAGCAAAAAGAAATAGAATAAGAATAAAAGAGCATGCACTTTGGAGACTACATCACTATCCTAAGCTACACAAGCAATGCCACAATATCTTAATGGATATTACACAACAAAACGGAGATACTGCTACCATGTGATATAATATAAAAGGATCCAGAAAGAAAAATGCGAGTTGTACACAAACTCAACAAAAGGCTACCTTACTGACAAACTTCCAGTCTCAATGCCAATGTCCATAAAAACAATCCTTGGAAGTTAACCCGATATGGGTTTAGACAGCAATCCACAAAATGATTACATGATGGTGCAGCGTTTCCTTTCTTCAGTTGGCTGTGAGCTTCCTTGCTGGAGCCTTTGTGACTCAGATGGGTTGTATGTGAATTCCGAAGTATCAAGCCCATACTGGATAAACAGCATTAGAATCAGATGTAGAAACGACATCACAAGCATAGAGCAACAATGATTAGATGCATCTTTTCTGATTATAGCTGATATGATGGTCAGACATAGTCCAGAACATTAAAAGATGTATATGGCGGATCTAAGCTTAAGCATATAGTTTAAAAAATGTCCGAACAAGCCCATAATGTGACATCGCAGAACAACAATGCAGTACTCTATGTAGAATGTGAAAATGTCAATCTAAGAAGTATATTCCGGCTTCCCTAATAGAGTTCCAGCCATTCATAAAAAGATCATTTCAACAGAATGTATAGGAGAAATTTGCAATAGCCCATGAAATCTTCACACGAAAGTCCTCAAAGAAAAGCCATTTCAACAATGCTATATACAGTGGAAAATGTAATACCAGGACAATGATGAACAGATTCCCAGATAAAAGACTGCACAAGGAAAAACCTACCGAAAGAAAAATATTTGGATGCACAATTTATGAAAATCTAAAAATCCTGTGCAGAAATCATATCTTAATTCTCCTTGAATTACCATGTCATGAAAGCATCTCTTTAGAGTCAAGACAGACAGCTTAAACATTCTCATGAGGATAGTGTATAAACGAAAACGATTAAAGTGAAATGCAGAGAAAGCTATTGCACCTTTTCCCTCATCCTAGTACTCCAAGCATCATTCCTGCCAGGAGGACGCTGGTCAATTGCACCGGGAACTGGCGGACCGGCTGCTGGTCCTGCTGTTCTGTTTATCAGTGGCTGCCGCATTTGGTGCCTTGGATTAACGAACTCATCATCACTGTCATAATCTGCTGGCCTATTTGCGGCCCTAACAATGAGGGCTAACAAGAAAAGAAGGGCCTGCAATAGTTTTTGCAAAGCATGTCATAAAGATATCATCAATTGCAGATCGTAAACAGACAAAGAAATGCACTCATCACAGCCACAAACAGACACAACTCCACAACATCTATACAAATAGTTTTTGCAAAGTATGTAATAAAAAGTTCACCAATTACAGATCTTAAACAGACAAAGAAATGCACTTATCACACAAACATACGCAACTCCAGGATAAAACTTGAAATTAGATTTGCCACAATGGATCAACAGATCTGTTGAGTGATCTGAAGAACAGGGTGATAAGTTTCTAAATTTTAAAGTTGGCAAGCCAATCTAAGTAGCCAACAAAATATTCCTATTTAGCCAGCTTCTACTCTCTATTCTCTCTCCCAGCTTTATGTTTCCTCCGTAACATCAAGGCAGTCAACAACCTAAACTGCATTTTCTCAGTCCAAAAGTAAGGTCCCTGAGAAATGATGTCACCACAAGTGACGAGTTTACCTTTGCTAACCAAGTTAAAGAAATTTGGCCACCGGTTGAGAGAGATCATGCTTAAGTACAAGAAATAGCAACCTCATCAATATAAAATATAGAAACTTTGATATAAAATATAAAAATTCCAACAATTCACACTATTTATAAGCATGAATAGTATGATTTATTCCCCAAACTTTGTGCAACGTAACCAACATCTATTTACCATAAAATTTATTGGTACGAATTTGGTAGTTATCAGTTCATTTTGCTCATCCTCCTGATATTTTAGATTTCCGTCAAGCGAAAAAAGGGCAACATTGAGTACTTCATCACAAGTTCAAACATTCTCAGTGTTATCAAAGTAATCCAGAATGTGAAGATATCAATTCTTAAAATCCTTTGCAACGTTTATAGTTTAGGGCATTAAATCTGCTTGCTTCTCTTCTCAGTGGGTGCATGAGTGAATGCAGAAAAAGACATTCATGACCACAAAACAAAAGTCTTTTCTTCCATCTGCCAATCATACTACTTACCTCAAAGATTACAATTCCAAGAGCAACCCATTTCACAATATTCCAGTTCTCTCGCAGGAATTTGTATATCATTTCAAAATATCCAGTTTTGTCAGCTGGAATTTCCTGAAAGCAACATAACAATAAGATGACAACCATATCATCTTAAATTTCAGATCGTAAATGATCATACACGGCTTACCTTTTCCCAGCTTTTATCAAAGTATAAAAAGGCAGCAAAACCAAGCTCCACCAGGATCAGCAACAGCAACAAAATTGAATACTTTGTTGGATTAAGGAAACCACTTCTAATACTCACAAAATATATACATGCATGTGCACATACACACCAAAGGAAAGAAAGCAAAATGGAAACAGAACTTTTCAATCCATATATATAGGCAGAAAGGTATTTAATTATCAGATACTGTTGGCCATAGCATAATTGCAGAAGACATCTAAAAGGATACACAGCAGAGGCAGCATCCATTCCTTGTTGCAATTCCAATACAACCAAAGCAAGAAATGACAAAGAGAACAACTCCAATGGCAATGAATAAGTAAATAAACCTGCCAAACATGAATTACACAATTAGTTTCATACGCGCTAAGACAATGTTGGCTGAACTTCACCAACTTCTTCTCATAAAGCAATCAGAATTTTTTAAGTATTAGACATATGACTGTGAAACAAAAATTTTATTGGCATGAGTAAAACCAAATCCAAATAGAATAAGCAAAATATGGAGTTGGTGACATCAATGAAGTTAAGCCACAACTAAAATTTATAAGGAAAGAAAAGAAAAGGATCAGGCCACACAGGTCCATCATATTGCACACTAATGACATGACATTAGTCGGTCAGAAACCAACATGTGGAAGAAACAATGGTTAGTTGAAATTTAGTAATACTTAGCAAGTAAGCATATCATAAAATGCACAAAGAAAATTAGTTGCAGTTAATTTTATACAGCACTGGAAAGAAGAACCATCAGTGCATCAATCACAACAAACAATGAACCATAATCAGCCCTAATCTTAACTTTTGAACCTTCAATCCATTAATCCCACAGTAAAAGTTCACTTTGCAACTGTAACCCAAACTAGGCCAACTAGAACATGGCAGAAAATACCCAACATAGAGACCATGTCCCAAAAGCTGATTGAAGACACTGATTGCAAAAATTATGTACTCCTGGCACGGAGTTTCCATCGCAAGTTACCAAAGAGTGTTCTAAAGGAAGTTGGGACCAGTGCTGCTTAGTAAACTATGATTTTACTGGATAGAAGAATATTGGCCCAGAGTAAATTTATAAATTTCACCTCCATAAAATGATTTTACCGGATATCACGACCAAAACTAATGCGACAAAATATGTTCAAAACATTAACTTTGTCAGTTTACAAGAAGGAACAACTATTCATTTACTAAGCCTTGTAAAAAGCCGGGAAAAAGAGCAGCATTCATACCAAGCCTTGGGCAAGCTGATACTATCTGATAGTGATACAGCCGTAAAGATGGGTCGGCCAAATTGAATTACAGTTTGATCATAACTGGAAGGCGAATCGGCAATTTCCTCTGAAGCTCTGTCATATTCAACCAGTAGATATATTCCATAGGCCACCATGGCCAGACCAGCAAGGGTCATTAGTAAGTTCAGAAGCTTCAAAAGGCACGCCCAGAAGCCCCTACAGGCCATCCTCTACCGACTTTTTGTACTTTAATTTGATAACTTGACCAAAATTCAAACTGGAGGCCAATGTTCCAAATGTCTCCAATATTTTCTGCAAAAACCCTCAAATTCTTATGATCGATCACAGTAAAAATAAGCCCCATTATTAGGAATGAAATGTAACAGATACGCTAAATTATGCATCTTGCACCTTCCTGAAACGAGTGATAGGAAAAGTAACTTCATCGTCGAATTTACATGTCAATATAACCTCCGGAATCTCGGAAAGGGAAATATAATTCGAACATATCTAAAAGAAAACAAATGGAAATCCTTAATCTCAATAATTTTAAGAGAATCCGAAAGGATGGGAAAGATATCCAATATTGAAAGCGATGATTAGTAATTCAGCAAATTGTCCGAGGATATTCTCTCTCCCATAATTTCCCGACGGGCCAAAAAGGAAAAAAGAACTATCACCTAGAATGCAATTGACCAGAATTTTGAACTAACTCCATCTCAGAAAATGCTTTAGAAAATTTAGATGATTAAATTAAGTGACATAGATAGATCAACTGACCAGTAGAAAGTAGATATTTGAAAGAAACGCGGCAAAGTTTTCAAAGGTTGAAACAAAATTGAAGGCGTCAACGAGAGCTTGGACACAGATAGAAGCAATAAGAACTTACCGGAAGGATCGATGATTTCGAACGATATCGAGTACGACTTGCGAGGTTCCTCGCTTCCCTTTACAGAGAAATCACACTAGCCGAGACCCTGACAGAGGAGAGAGAGGGGAAAAAATGAAAAGGCGAAATGATGAGAGGCGCTTGCTTTTCAGTTTCGAGACCCCCAGGGCCAATTACGTAAATTCATAAGGGTAGGTATTGTATTTGTATACCGGTGGGTCAATACTCAATACTCAATGCCGCGGCTCTTAGGGGTACATTTGGTACGAGCAAAATAGAAGGAAGGAAAAAAAAAAAATTTATGAGTTTGTTTGAAAATAATGAAGACTGAGGTTAAAATTTTTTTTATTAATGTTAATTATTTTTTTATTTTACATTTTTTATCAAAATTTTACAACCTTATTTCTTCAATTTTTTTCAAATAAACTCATTAAAATTTTTGTTCTCCTATTTTTCCTCCCTTTCCCTCGTAAGACCCCTAATGGCTAATGGCCTTTTGGAGAAAAAACAAAATTATGCGCGTGTTTGTATGCGTCAGTATAATTTGGCCAAGGGGATGATGACACTGTTTGAGTTTTGATTTGTTGTCTTCCGAATGAACTCACGGAGGTTAGGTTGGATTCCGTTCTATCCATTCCTTCTTTTTTTTTTCTTTTTTAAATTCCGCAGCAATATTGAAACAAATCTGGAGGCACGGATATGATAAAATACTCCAATATTTTATTTTAATTACAGGCGAAAAGGAAATGCTGTTACTGGAGGGACGGTGGTGGGATCAGGAGCCCCCATTCTTAGCTGTAAATTACATATTTCCGTACAACAGGCAATGCAGTATAAGTCTAAAGAAAATGCTCCGTATATTTAAAAGAGAGAGAAAATGTTCTGAGCTGTAGGAATATATATATTCCTTTGATATTTAATATAAGATCTATTTAACTAATTTGATTAGACTAAAAAAGTTAGGTAAATTAGTTCATTATAAGAAATATGACATATTTTTCCTAAAACCCCATAATCGTCTTTCTTAATATCATTCTTCCTTCTTTTACTTGATTATGGTTAAAAGAGTATTATTAGGGATAATTTAGAAAAAAGCTGATAAATACAAAAAATAGATCTTATATTTAAGATCAAAATCAACTCAACAATTAGGTCCTATATTATTAATAGCCGGAGGAGTACATTTTAAAGTTGACAATAGGGAGAGAAGTGGCGCATGGTGATTGGGCCGAAGAGGGGTACATATGGGTGGGTCCCACTTCATAATATTTGGCGGGAATGAGGGCCGCGTTTCCCCTGCCGGAGCCTTGGAGGCATCTCCCTTGTAACGAACCGTCAACAGTAAACAGCTACCTGTCCAAGACAGCATAGTAGTTGGGAACTTTCCCTACAGTGCTCTTTCCTGTTTGTTTCCGTCACAATTTGTGGGCCTTCTAGGCCCAGAACATTCTTCTATTTGGGCCGCCTAAGTTGGGCTTATGTAACTATTCGCGTTTGGGATTTTCTTTTCTTTTAGGGTCAGATACTTCTGCAATGACCCAAGATTTGGTCATCATGTAAGATTTGTTTATCTCCAGGGGCTCTTCTATAGTTGATTCATTGCGGGATCCTCCTGATTACTGAATGTTGACCTTTCATAATAATTCGGTTAAAAAATAACATAAAATAAAAACTCTCAATCATGCAGATCCGTGATATTTAATATAAGAACTAGTTGACTAATTTGAGTAAATTAAAAAAATTAATTAAGTTAATTATTTGTAATAAATATATGTTATCTTTTTTAAAATATCCTTATTAATTATGTGTATTAGCTACAAATCCATTTGATGAAATCTTTAACATGTGATACTATAAGGGCTACCTTGAAAAAGAATAGATAAATATGATAGATAAAGTGGATTGGAGTCTTATATTTAGTAAAAAAATTGAATGTTAAACTAGCTCTTATATTAAAGACTAGAGGTATATTAACAATTTTTCATCCCAAAACAAAAAAAAAAATTACATCAATGAAGTTACCACATCTTAAAAGTATCTAACCGAAGGTTTCTTCAGATCAAAAAAAAAAAACGGAAGGTTTCTGGCCTACAGGTAACAACTTTTCTCCAAGTTCAACATAACATTAAAGCTATTAAATTACTCACACATCTTTGAAAAATACCACCTTGGCGCTTCTAAATTTTACATTACAAACTGAATCTTATATTTAAAATTGAAAATAGTATGTGAAATACACTATTCGTCTCATTCAGAAATAAAAACAAAATGGAAATGCGTATTCCATGATCAATATCTCTGAGACTCATAAGACAAACAATATTATCTATTTTTGGCCAAGAACAAACAATGTTATCTTAAAACTCTTCTCTTAAGAACTGATGTACTTAGTTCCTTTGTCTTGGAGTGAATTATACCCTCTTTTTGGCAAAAGAAAGAAAGAATTATGCTTTCCTTAAATAGTTCCTTTATCTTTGAGTGAATTATACTCTCTTTTTGGCAAAAGAGAGAAAGAATTATGCTCTTCTTAAATTACTTTTTTATTTATTTTAAAAAATTGATGCCATTTTTAAAATTTTGAAAAAAAAGTACACTGATCTTATCTAAAACCATCCGGATCTAATGCTTGTATTTGTTATTTATATAAATAACAAATTAGCAATGCAAATATAACTAGTTTTTATGTATTTAAAATGAATTTATTTTTTAAAATTCATAAACATTAAAATAAAATTTCATCATGCTCTAATGTTATATTAAATAAATATTATTCTTCCAATTTGATCATATTTTATTTTGAAAAATTGTACATATTTTTGTAATATGGGAAAATCTATACAATTTAAAATTTTAAAGAGAAGAAAGTAATTACAGCAAGTCTTTATCATTTCTTATTTTAAAGAAATCAGACAAAGAAGCCATCCTATTACATATGTAAGCATGTCTACACATTCAACATTATGGTTTCCATTATTTCATGTAGCAGTAAGCAAAACCAACCATTAGGAACAAGTTTGGCACTCACCGTTGAGAGCAGACTCATTTTTCATTTATTCACAAAGAAAACTACACATAGCAACATTACGGTTTCCATTATTAAAAGTCTGCAACAGACCCCACCACCCAACAACTCCAAAAAAGGATCCATTCCAGTAATCAGAACAGACTTTATGCCCCAAAAAAGTTGGGCATTTACAACCCACAAACCCGACCAGAGCATCATCAAGAGTTTGATGCAATAGCATCTTCCTATCTACATATCTATCTCTTTACAACCAGAAAAGTTAGCACAAAGTATCATCATTTATTACATGGCCATTACTCACCCAACCATGTCGCCTATTGGCTGTCCTGCACTTTGCACCAAAAAGTGATATGGATGGCATCAATGAGTGGTCGGTGGTGTGTAAATGGTCCAAAACTTCCAACTAATCTGCTATTTGAATTCTGACAGATTTTGGGGTGTGAAAAGAACAGGAGGAAAACCTTATCTTGATTGCTGATAGGTACATGCTATTTCAACTTAATTCTTCATAAGTCAAAGTTTAAATTAAACCCTCAATCATTCCAGTGCTTCCAATGTTGTCGTCTCTTATTTTTATCTAAAAATTAATGCCAAACCAAAAGAGATGGGTTGGCTTGAACAGTAACAGCCAATTTGGTACTGTTAACTCAGAGTAAGCAATCTGTTTAGGCTTGGCATAATTTTTGGATAGAGAAAAACTGGAAGTTATGACATTGAAAACAGGGTAATAATTGAGAAATTAATTTAGAAGATCCGACCTATGAATGGCAAAATTAAAAGTGCGCCTCTTCATGGACAACCAAAATAAAGTTTCCTCAAAAAATAAATTGAAGCAGAGCGTTGTTCTGATTGGCATGTACCAGAAGGTTGCTTTGTAGTTGTTAATAAGGGCACTGGCTGATCGTAAGAGACGTGGGTCTCCCATCGGAGGTCACTGGGGTTTGGGTTCTGGTTCTGGTTTAGCATGCCTGGAACAAGGAGGGATGGTGGAAATGCCTTGCCTAGAGAGCTCAGCCAACACGCAATCAATGGAAGGGGGTTTGAGGCCTAGTGGCATTGGTAGCCATGGCTTGCTAATTGCCTCCTTCACTGTCTTGTCAACAACATCTTCTGCCTGCATGAATGCACCACAAAAGTGTTAAAAAAATTTTGGGTTCTCTTTGTATCACTCTATCTCCTACAGCATTATATCACTATTGCGGAGGACCCAAATTGGAAAATTTCATGGCAATTTGGACTTTTAAGCATAAACAGTCCCCTTCAGACAGCAGCGTTTAGTACATGTGCGTCAGTTAACAAACATATAGTACAGGTCAATTGAGACTGCTTTGTCCACTTGATTTGCTTTGAGATTCTCAGTCTTTTTATTATGAAATAAGAATTTCAAAGTGAATCTAATGGGCAAAATACTCAAGTGCATGAGAAAGTCAAGCTCTGCATAGAATTACCCTCAAGACACCAAAGTTTAGGCATATTCTATGCAAACTTTAGTTAGAACTCTCACATCACACACTACTAGAAGAACCGATTGCCTAGGTAACCTGCTTTCTGTACATTACAAATTTTAATTTATAGCCATTTGATCTGTATAAGCTATAAGCTAACATGATTTTAGAACGTGACTTGCTAGCTCCTACTGTCTCTAAGATCCAGATGCGTGAAGTTAACATGAAAGTACTGCATTACCACATGATATTCGCAGGAATTCCCTAACTTGCTAGCACTACAATTAACTGCATTAGCATTATCCCATCCAGGTATATTCTGCAGTTTGATGACACAACAATACATATAATCAGAATCGTTATAATAAATTTACTTATAACGGACAATTAACACACAGAATAACACTCCAGATCTTCACTTTATTAACACTCACTTGAGAGAGCGAAATACAAGGAGCTTGAGAAGCTGGCAACACTGGGCAACCCCATGCATCAGCATGCATCTGGAACATCAAGTAATGTTTTACACGTTAAACTGCATTCAAAACTCTGTATTGAAGACTATGAATCAAGGTCGCTAAAATAAAGGGGACAAATATATCCTGCTTCAGATCAAATGCTAAAGAGAATAATCACCGTATGATATGGCTTCCAGTGCCAACTTTCAGTAGGATGAAATGGGGGATAACCCAGTGGGCCCCAAGCATGCATACTGGCTGGTTGACTGCCAGATTGTCCCCAGATAGGATACACATGAGCTGGTGATGGGGTGCAGTTAGAATAATATGGAGGGAAAGCCATAACTGGTCTTTGTACCCATCTTCGATCTTCCTTTGGCAAGATTTGCCTCCTCTGCATTCTATATTTCTGTATGACAAACAGTTAACATCATGCTTATCTAAGAGGATACGTGCGTATGGCTTCTTAAAACAACTGGATTAAGTGATGAAATAGTCATCCTACTAACGGTGCGAAAAAGAAACCCAGAATATAACCAGCAAGCTAAATGATGACCTGAAGATGACTTGCCACATTATGCCTTGTCAAGCCCTCCACATTCATGAGCTCCAGTATTCGAGAAGGAATTGCTTGATCAACCCCTAATTTTTCCACTGCCTTCACAAACTTCTTGTGCAGTTGAGGCGTCCAGTCTACCTGAAACCAAAGCCAATATGTTAAACTGTATTCGGACAATCAAAACCAGCAGATAACTTGCTTTCTAAAGCAAAATTTCAACAAATGGATGGTCTTATATGCAAAACAAAAGAGAAAGTATAAGCAACAAACATAAACAATATATGCTATATTCAGAATTATTTTCTTGCCAAACATTTTTAAAACAGCTGTTGAGGTTTGACAATTTCATCAAAAAATTTCTTTATCACTTCACACATGGACATATGATGGAATTCATATGCTGAAATGTTGGGATATGTCCTGGCTTTGTGCGTCATATCACTAACATTGAATGCATAAGCTGATTTGTTAAGGATATTTTTGCAGGTAAATCAGCGTTCATGAGGTTTTTGCAAGTGGAGGAAAAAGGATTATCTATGAAACATGATAAGAACTAATAGTCATATAGCAAACTTAATTCACCTTCTTCTTAGTTTTGATTTGACGGGAATCACTATTAACACCTGGTTTATTTGGAGATACAGTGTCACCTTCAATGTTGCTGAGAACACTATCATGTACAGATGGAGAAACAACTTTCTCACTCTTAGAATCATTTGCAAGGTTCTCATCCTCCATGTTCAGTGCCTTTTCAGGTTTCACTGGTTGACAAGTACCGTTGGCATTCAAAGTCCCACATGTAGTTTCGACAAATTTAGATTCCCCATCATGGTCCTCACTTTCTTTTTCTGCTGAACAATTAGTTTGTTCTTGGCAATCTCCGTCGTCCATTAACCTTGCCCCCTGTTTTAGTTGTGGAGTTGAAGGAGCAGGGTACTTTTCACTTCCTGCAGACTGCTCATGATCATCATCACTGAACCTAGACTCCTCTAAATTTAAACTTCCATGCTCCCCACTGTCTGTTTGAAGCTGCAATACCACAGATTCTTTGACAGTTTCTAGTGATTTAGGCAGGACACTTGTCCCAGTGTTGAACGCCTGCTCAATTGAACCACATTTAGCAACTTTTACGCTCATGACATGTTAATATTAAATGCCAACAGAATCTGCCTCTACTGACAAACCTTGTGAACAACATGCTGCCAGATATTCCTGAGTTTTTCCTCGGAGAGTGGTTTGTTTAGGAACTCAACTGCACCAAGCTTTAAAAAGAAAATGCCGTAACCAATCAAATAATTAATCATGAGGGACTAGAAATGTGAATTAACATTAAGATAAGGTGAAATAAATAAATTGAAGAATATTAACATCAGATTTTAAGCCGCAAATTATTAGGGCAGCTAAGCCAAAATCTTACCGCTACACACTTCATCATGGTGCTCAAGCAGTGATTGTCTGAAGTCACTGCATCAAATATCAAGTATCACTTGTTAGAAGATTTTTGACGAGAGCCTTTAAAGTAAACTTTCATCACATTCCCCTAAAGAATATGGATATACCAGCAAAGAAAAACTAAGATCTTGCATTATTTAAGGACATCATGAAAAACGGACGAACTATTTCAATTTCAAATGCAACATGCATGCAAGAGGCAAAACTTGCAGAATTATATATATATATATATATATTTTCAAACTTACTGATGGTAGGCAAGTCTTTGGCATACTCAAGAATTTTGAAACTTCCCAGGCTGCTGGTACTGACCTGCAGTTACTAATGCAATTAGAAGGACGGATATGGTGACAAATCCTATCAAGTCTGTATTACGCCACAATCCAAAGGAAACCAAGTATAATATTGATATCCAGAAAGTGTATAAAGGGAGGATCTTTAATTATGCCAATAATTGCCATGATCTTGTTGGGGTGAAATACATTATATGATAGGAACGACATTCTACGATTTCATTATAAAACGATCCCATGGGTCAAGGTTGCAGCCTAATTGTTTGCAGCATATAATCATAATCAAGATTCCAAAAAACCATTCTTTATCAAAAACGTCCAGAGCCTTTTCATTTCAACATGTTTCAAAACGTCTGATTTATCATTTTCTGTTCAAGTTTTGTTACTACTATCTAGTAATTTGATATTTTAATGAGATTTCATTACCTCCACTATGGCAACATGGAAGCCTTCAGGTTTGCTGGAGACTGCTGACAAGGCTTCATTCTCATCACAGAATGTAGAGACTGCAAAGATATTCTCAGGCTTATTAAGGGAACCAGCAGAATGGACAAGCATGTACAGGAACCAAGAATTGAAGGACTGAGGGAGTAGAAGGCAAGATTGATATGAATTTCAAACGCATTCAAAACTTTCATTGCGTTGATTTCTAAAAAATATAATTTTAATAAAGTTTACCTTCTTGGAATACTTGCTTTCCTTAATAGATGCTTGTTTTCTGTAGCCAACAATTCATATTGACAAAGATTGAAAAAGCTACGGATAGAATATAGAATAGCATAAATTGAGTAACTCACAGATAGATAATTGGCAATTAATTTATGTTCATTATCTCCATAATTTGGACCACGTAGAGCTTTAGAGGCATTTGTAAGCACGTAGTTTAAACGCAAATGATAGAGTTAGCAGCTTTATGAGCAATCTGAGAAATGCCCTGTATAGTAAGTTAGTAACATCCAGCAACGAAGAAGGGAAGAACAGGGCTGTTCTTTAAAATTATCAAATTCCATCATAACTAAATTCTGAGACCACATACTTCCAAAGAATCTTTAGGGGACACTCACTAAATCATTGATGCTTTACAAGATGCCATTAAAGATAACGATGGGGACCAGTTCTAATCACTAAATAAAGTGAGTGAGATTGGCTGGGCCAAAATTTTCAGTAAATGGAGAAAAGTAGCAAGCCCAGAAAAGTATTACCGATATAGTCCATGGCCTCCAGCTTTGTTGCTATCTCCGAAGCAGAACTTCTGTCTCCATCAAGGAGAAGAACCCTAAGTCCCTTTGGAAAATCTTTCCACTCCTGTATATCCCTAGCAGTGCAAACCATAGCTGGCTTAGCATCGTTCCTCTGTCGCCTACAGAAGTCACAGATCACTAATGCTTATCTACATCCAATTTGTTCTGCAAGAACCCGCCAGATCACCAGTTTGATCCAGTAAACTAGACCGTATTCTGTAATCAAGATCACATAACACAGAAACAATCAAATAAGAGATAATCTGATGATAACAAGATATTTAGAATACTAATCTTATTAAAGAAAGACTCAAAGGGAATGAGACGAGTTGATACTCCATCGCATACTTGCATTTTTTACATCACAGAAAGGTTTCCAAGGAGCATATAATGCAGACTACAGACAATACCACGAAGATCAAGCCAGATAAGCTTAAAGTCCATGAATCATGGGTGACGCAGTTGGTGAATTGATCATCAAACAGATTCCTACTTATTTATCCCAAACCATTTCGGATTTCTCCAAGAAGGAAAATCAAATCCTCTTGTGAAGTGAAAAGAAGAATCAATTTACTAGAGCACCTTCACTTAATAATCTGATACAGAGCCGGGCGAGATCTCGAGTAGAGGAAAAAGAAAACTTTAACTCTGAAGAGAAAAATAATTAAGAAAAACTGACAACAGTCAGGCAGAGAACAAGGCAACCCAATAATCGTGAAACCAATAAAGACGCAAGCAGCTCAAAACGACATACATGCATGCACATATTTGAGCTAAAAAACAAAAGCAAAAGAAAATTCAAAACAAAGTTCTCACAACAGAGAAACCGAAAGATAATGAGCATGCAAGTGGGTATGAGGGACTGATGTTGGTTTCGAAACCATTTTAACTACCTTGGCTGAAAAGAAAATGCAACTTGGAAGGTCAAAGAAAAATGAAGCAGTTCATTGTTCTTTCTGGCGTTGTTTCATGGGAAGTAGATAGAGGAGAAGGAAGGAAAGGGGGTTCAGTGCGGTCCGTGAATGATATGGGCGACTGCTGTACAATTGCAATCGGCTGTTGCGGACCGCAGAATATGAAGGTGACCTCTCTCTCTCTCTCTCTCTCTCTCTCTCTCTCTGGGGTCAAGGAACTTCTCTGCGTTTCTGCCACTTCTTTCAAGGTTAATGTTCCAAATCCACCCTCGGCTTCAACTCTTTTTACCTTCATTGAGCATAGGAAAGCTTAAAAAATCAAAAATAGAATGGGATGAAACGTCTTTTAAAAACAACAAAAGAAATTATCACCCAAAAAAAAAAAAACAACAACAACGACAAAAGAAAAATTGGGATAAATCCCTCAATAAGCAGACATTTATTTATTATTAGAAGAGATATCTACATACATCCTAGTGTCTGATAGCATCTCAAACAGAATCGTCTTCAATAAAATAATACATGTGTCTAACAGAAAAAATTAGCAAATCATTTTTAAAGATTTTGTACAACTTAAATTTTTTTAGATGCAACTTATTTTTTTTGTGTGCAAGTCATATTTACTATATTTAAATTAGTGCCTTATGTTTAAATAATTGTTTGTGCAAGCCTTCTTCTCTTTATATAATTTAACTTCCCTTAAATGCAACTTATTTTTTGTTATGCAATATATCATCCTAAATACCATTTGCTAATTAATTTGAAAACAAATTGATAAACATACAAATTAAGTTTTACATATAGAATTAATATCAATTTTTAAATTAGATTGGACAAGAAGAGTATAAAACCACTCCACGTTGGGGGAGGGGGGGAGGGCGGCCACAATATCTTCACAAATTTTCCGTTATAATTACAGAATGAGTTTTTGTTTTTTGCCAGCTAGAGAGGGAGTTAGCATGAGCTTGTATTCTTGTAGTAATAAAATTAAGAAAGGTTAAATTTTGTAACAATTACTTCGGAGGATATTCAATTATAAAATAAAAAGATATGACCATAAGATTTTTTTTTTATCTTAAATTTATAAGTCTATAAATTTTTATTGTTCAATTAGTATTAATATTTATGTAATTTTCTCTTTTAATTAAAGTGTTAACTTAGTTATGAAGCACTGCTCATCCCAGTTAACGATGCTAATAGAATAAAATTACAAGAACAAAGGGTGTTAACAAAAAAAATAAAAGATTAAATTAAGAAAAAAATACAAACATACCAAACTAAAATTTATAGAAAAGTAAAAGTACGTGCAAAATAATTTTTTCTAATATAAGATATAAAAATTTACGGTAAAACACCTAATTATAAACTACATACCAAATTAAAATTTGTAGAAAAGTACAAGTACCTGCAAAATAATTTTTTTCTAATATAAAATATAAAAATTTATAGTAAGACACCTATTTATAAACTATAAGTTATGTAAATCACACTCTAGAAACCCAACTAAATTGCGCCCAAAAATACAATTAGATAAATAATTAAGTTAGTGTGACCCATAACCATAAGTATATTTTTTAACATAAAAGCAAGTAAGACAGACATCTTCTCAAGCTTTCATTGGGAGAGATGTCAATTTATATGTCTTTTCACCTATTATCAAGGTATGTATAAATTTTCATATTAAAATAATTAAAATAAATGTTTTATTTGAAAGGAGAGCTAAATCAGTGTTGTGAAATCAATCTGTTGTTCAACCAAATCATGTGCCAATAATTGCTTTGCGTGACCTAAAATTTGAATTGCCCGAAAATATAGCTCCACATTTTTTTAAATTTTAATTAAGCCAAATTTGAGTATTGGTTCAAATGAAAGTAACCAATTTTTAATAGGGATGAATCAAAGCCATTTCACTTTCAATTATAAAACTTCCTCATTAATTAATTAGATTTATATAACTAATTACTTTTATTGAGGATAAATTTAATATTTTACAAAAAATGATCAGCTTTAACTAATTTTATTAATCTATGTAAAATTATTATAAGATAATAAGAATTGAAGATTTACTTATTATGTTATTATATAAACAAACATTTTTATCAACTGTCAACTTAGGTATTTCACATTCACAAAAAGAATGTGATTAATTATGCTTTGTATCTTTAGAAAGAAATAGAGAAACTTGACGATAATGTGCAAAATATATGAGTCAACATACTTTCTTAAATACTTTCTACAATATCTAATTAATTAATTAATCTACATGAGTTAATAAAATTAATTATTTCTTGTGAAATATCAAAACCATCCTCAATAAAAAATATTAGTAAGAGAAATTTAGTTAACTTATTGAAAACTTTCTTAAATCTTTTTTATAATATCAAATTAATTAATCTACATAAGTTAACAAATTAATAAAATTAATTATTTCTTGTAAAATATCAAAATCATCCTTAATAGAATTTATTAGTAAGAGAAATTTATTTAGGCTTCGTTTGGCATCACGTTTAAAACTACTTGTAAGCAAATTTCATATAAGTCAAAACAAAATTTCTCTCATATACTTATCTCATGTTTCGTCTTAAAAATCTACTTATAAGTCATTCCAGATAGGCTCTTAATTTGTTGAGAAGTTCCTTTTTATGCCAATTAAGAAGTTTTAGTTAGATTATGCTACATAAGAAAAATTAATATTTTAAACAAAACCACATTAAAGACTATTAGAAGGCAAGACGTGAGCAATGATAGAAAAATAAAAAAGGATCAAATAAAGACTGATGACAATAATAGAAGACGACCAAACTATTGAATTGCTCTCAATTAGTTGGTTGGGTTGGTTGGTTTTACTAAAAGACCTTGGTTGTTGAATCCTTTAACCCAATTTTTGTATGATATTTTCACTAGCGTGGGTTGATGATGTTTTTGTATGATATGAGAAATTGGACGCAGATTTGGAACTCAAAGAATTTACTTGGTTAGTATTTTAACTAAAGTGCAAGTTTGAAATTCTAAATATATATGAGATTTACTTTAGTCATTTAAATTTAAAAAACTTATTTTTAATCTTTTAATTTTAATACTGTTGGTTTAGTTTAAATTTACGTGAGATTAATTTGATTCCATTTAAATAAGGATAAAAATTTCAACCTAGATGAAATGTACGTGTGTGTATCGTTAAATAGGCATATATAAAAATATAAGTTAACATCTCTTATTTATTATCATTTGACTATAATTCATTCTGAAAATATATGTTAACTATATTTTATCGGATGTCCACCAAGAGACATATATTAAAAAAAAAATGAATATCCATGGTTGATTTATTGTTCATGTCTGTAAGTGGCAATTATTTTGCGTTATATATGTTATAAATATTAGAATACGTAGATGTCTATAAATTCTCTCAACTCTTGACCTTTCATAGTCTACACTCTATAACCTCTCCATTGAATAGTTTTTAGGAGTTTTTATTCCATAACTTAAAGATTACATGTAACACACTTATGTAAATTAATATTGTTATTTATTTTATGTAACCCTTGGTTGAGTTTTGGAGTCTATAAATAGAATGCTATGTAATGCACATTTTGATCATCCAAATGAATAAGAATACACTTCTCTTTCTCTCAATTTCTCTCTTATCTTACTCATCTCTTTCATTCCAAATCTTGCTTATATTTCTCATTTTCATAACAATATATAGGTTTTTCTATCAATATATTAAAACTTAGTTTGACTGAATCTTTCTCCCTCTTAAATATTTCTATTTTAATTTGAATTTCTCATCACCTTCATTGAAATTTTTGAATCATTTATATTTTTATATACTACCTCCATCCTAAATTACATTATAAAAAAGACTATTATTTTTAGAACTAGAGTAGTATATAGCAGTTTTATTTTTAATTGCTGTAAATTAATAATTTTTTTTATAGATGTCCATAAAATTAAATTAGAATTTCTCTAGTCGACTTATAGTTAAATATTTTTTTTATATAATTTACTTTTGTTCTGAGTATACTTATAATTTTAGTTTTTGTTAAATCTAGTGATTAATTAGCTTTTACTTATTAACAATATTTAATGTTGGTTATAATAATAAATGATTAAAGTATACATTTTGTCTTTTAACTTGATATAAGTATATTTTTGAGCTCTTAACTCTAAAATTGTTAGATTTAAATATGATTGTTTTAAAAATTAAACTTAATATTTTAATATTTAAAAATATTTTATTAATATTTAAGACTCAATATATACTTTAACAAACATTCAGTCAAAGAAAATAATAATGAAATATATTTTTGAATTGATGAATATTATGGGTCGATGATTATTCCCTTTTTTGAAAAATCAACGACTCAATAATTGTAAAACGAAAATATAATGATTTGACTTTTGATCTTTACATTTTGTCAACAAAAAACCGGGTGCGCTGTCGCACATGGTTTGATGTGCTTAAAGGCGGAATTACCTTTTTCATAAAACCCAAATTATATTGTTGAATATTCAGGTTAAAAAAAATTATATTGTGGAATAAGGCCACCATAAAGTTATATGTTTTTTATTTTAATTTTTTTTTATTTTCAGAAATTAAAATAACATTTAATAAAATAATGAATTAAAATTCTTTTATTTTAGTATATGGATTTTTATCATAAAATTTTGGAAAAGTGATGTAAAAAAAAGTTGAAAATTGTATTATTTAAATTCACCCATCTAATAGTTCAAAATCCTAGAAGAGTAAGTGGTATATAATCTCGTCTTTTTGTAAATATAGCCAAATGACTAAAATGTATTGAATTAGATTTTTTAAAAAAACTATTAAACTTGTCATTGTAGTATATTTTTTGTCAATACTTGTTCAATACTTATTACTGTCAATTTACAACTTATTAATAAATAATTTGTTATTACCATTATATTTCTGATCATTTGCTATTCAACACTAATAATTATCAATTCACAACTTGTTAATAAACTTTTTGATATAAGAATATTTTTATCATTTAACTACATTTGTAAAATATCAAATCAGGTATCATTTTCTCTCCTAGGATTTGACCTCTTAAATACCTGAATTGAAATATTATAATTTTTAATTTCTTTTTATGTCATTTTTTCTAAGG